TATACACATATATATACACATATATATACATGTATGTATATATATACACATATATATACACATATATATACATATATGTATATATATATATATGTGTGTGTATATATATATATATATATGTGTGTGTATATATTACTTTCATCTGTATTTGCTATGTTGTGCTAATTTTCTGTGTACGGCAATAGAACAGCTTACCTTTTGAATGAAAGAAGGATCTTTTGTGGAATGAATGGTTAGTGATGGAAATGTGTTGTACTTTAATGTGTGTTTGTTCTTTGTTATGTACTGCCTGTAGGAATTTAGTCTTACCGGATAGTTCATGAAAAACAAATAAACTTTAATTTACTTCACATATTCACATTTGATTCGTATTTAATACCGATAATCATGGATACTTCACCGGTATATTTATATGTATGTGAAGTATCTAACTTTAAAAAAGTTGTGAAAATCCAATAGTATATAGAAAACATAGAAGCTTTGTTCCTTGATGAATGAAAAATAATTTTTGTCCTCGTTAGGGTTTATTTCTAGAAAGAAATGAGATTAATATTGTTCGTATCTGCAGATTATAAGGAGTGTCTTTTGAAAATGATTTATAATTTTTATTTTGTTTAATAATATCCAAGAAGTACATATTTAATTTGGATTTGCAGAATTGCAATTCTCTACCAACCTCATTAATGACCACAATACAACTGAAAATGCAAATTCCTTGCAGATGACAGTCATTCGAAAATCAGTAGATCAACCCTAGAACTCCTTATATGATCAACACACCCTTATTCGTTTTTTAAATGTTGATTAAAGACTGAACCTAGACTATTATCAAGATCCTTTAATGGCTGAATCTACACAATTATCAAAGCCCTTTAAGAATTACTATTTTTAGGTATGATTAAATCAACATAATAATTAAAAAAATCAATCAATTAAAGAAGCAAACGAAAATAAGGATTATAGACCCCTAATCAAAGAAACTTAACTGCAATTTTAAAAGAAATGACCAATTATTATTAAGGAGCTCTGATTCCAGTATAAGACAACAGACTATTACTGAATGCTCTAACCTGGAGAATCTCTTAAACTCTAGGCTAAAAGATATAGTATATTATATATTTCTAGAATGATCATGCCATGTGCATATTGCATTAGATACACTTATTGTAATTATGGATCATAGCTTCGGTTATGCTTCATGATTGATGGCTCTGGCCTGTTCTGAGATCTTGAACTGACAAATAGTCGATGTCCTGCAGTGAGATTGCAAAGCATCTTTCACTTCCACCAGTTAAGCTCCACTGCAGCATGCTTGCTGAAGATGCCATCAAAGCGGCTGTTAAGGATTATGAAGCTAAGCGTGCTAAGGCAACTGCTAGCGGAGAGGCGGCAACAGAAGAGGCGGCAGCCACTGCATGATTTCTTTCGTGTACACAATGTTGATGAAGACAACCGTTTGTTTGTTTGTTAATTCTGTTAATCAGTTATCAAACGAAGAATACACCTTAACTCAAGACATTTTGTCGGAGTTATTCAGCCAGTGTGTATTCACATTATGTGTAAAGTAAATATTTGAGACCCCGGTTATGATTTGTTATCTGCTCGGTATGTATTCCAGTAGTTCAATTATTAACTGTGTACGCATACAATAAAGCATATCGGAATTTTTGGAAGTCCCTCAATACAATTAAGCGAATAGCGTGATATTTTCTTAAATCGAGTTCATTGAGTCGCATGTTTTGTGTACTTTTTTTCGTGAATTTGTAATTAGATTTTGTTATCTTAAAATTAATATGAGCGTCCTTGATTTAGGAGGGGGTAACTACCAAGAATACGAAGTGCTCAAGAGTAGAGGCGTGCTAATCACGAGAGCCGCATCACATGAGGATATGGAATTGTCCTTCCATGCATGGCAGAATCTTTCTTTTCTTTTTTTCATTGTAGACAAATGGAAATTTATCGTAATTGTTAATGTGTAGTAGAATAAAGCATCTCATAAAGTACCAAAGCATAGAATCATATTCTGAAGCAACTCCGAGTTATGGTGTATATCAATAAAGACACACGGCCAATAAGGCGAGCACCATCCAGCCTCAACAAATTTCAATTCTTCATAATTTATGTTTGTTTCATTCATAAAACCCTTTGTCCAGGAATGCTTTTGCGGAGGACGCATAGCTTTGTAGAGGAAAAACTCTCAGACCTTAAAAAACCGATGCCTAAGAACTAATGAGACTGACATTTATCGTTCTTAAAAATAACTGAGATTCCTGCAATTTCATGGACTGGTGTATTTGTTGTCAAATAGTATTTTAAAAAATGAGAACGAGTGGTTGAGTCCAAAGCGAAGGAAAGGATTCATACAAATCCAGTTATCCAAGGAAAAACCAATGCCATGCATTTAACATCATGGTAGCAAACCAAGTTTCAAGGAAGGACACTGCACAGTGCAGTTGATGACTAGTGGAACTTTAAATGAGCAGTATCCTATAATAGGTGCAAAGTGAAGGTGGAATATCAATCATTCTCCAAAACGGCATACAAGAGGAAGCATTGAAAAACAGCATAAAAAAGTGATTACACAGTAGTGTTATAACATTACAACCTTATTGATCATCCTCAGGCTTGTAGTTCACTTAATTAGCCTTAGTGCGAACAGCCTCCAACAAAAAATCAGTGATAAAAGGCTCATAAGAGGGCAATTTTGCATAGCCGGGAAAGTAATTGATATCAATAACAAGGTACCTTGTTGGTTCCTTACTATCTCTGATCACATCAACGTTGAAAAGGTTAAGTCCCAAGGCCTCCCTCAACGCCTTCGCCAACTCATCCACCAGACACTGCGGCGGCATTTCGGCTTTCTCGACGGTGTCACCTTCCCCTTCGACGCCCAAGTTCGATACACGAGAAAACGGCAGCACCTCCCCCTTTAAAGTTCTCAGCCTCTCCTCCGATATATCACCTAAAGATTTCCGCTTCACGCATTTCACGCGACGCCCAGCAACGTATATCTTGAACAAGACCCCACCGTGATTCACGAACTCTTGTAGCACTGTGGGAGCGCTCAGCGCGTTGAGTCCTTCGCGGTCGAAGACCAGGCACATTTCGTGAGAGCCATCGCCGCCGTCAGCCGCCAACGGTTTGGCGATCGCGGGGAATCGCAGACCCAGCTGTTCGAGTTTGTCGAAATCGGGGGCTTTTGGTTCGTTTACGACCACTTGGTTGGGAACCCCAACGGTGGAATTTTGGAGGGAAATTTGCAAGTGGGCGGCTGCCTCGAGCATTGAAACTCGGTCATGGAGGCGACTCACCAACTCGGGGGGGTCAATGATTGCGGTGTCTGGATGCGTGGCCGAGAATTGTTGGAGGTGTTTGTTCCATTGTGGAGTGTGAAGTTTGTGGATGATGCAGTGGAAGGGACCTTGTTGTTCTAAGGGTGAAGAGGGGTCGATTTGGACGAGATCGACGGCGTGTTGTTTGGCGTAATCGAGGAGGGAGGATTGAAGGAAACTTTCCACTTTCTTGGTTTGGAGAGCATAGCCCACACGGTACCTCTCACCTTTTGCAACTTCCGATTCAAACTTAGACATGTCTGCTTTCTGTGAGAATCGAATGACACTGCAAATGAAGAGACTCTTAACCAGCAGGTTTGTTTCTTCAAACACTCAAATAAAACACAATCATAGTTTAGTTTTGTTTAATTTAAATTTAATATGAAGTTTGAATTGATTTTTTTTCGTGTAGTTAAAAAATGTAAAATATTTAAAACAAAATTATTAAATTTTTTTATTAGGATAAATTTATACTATTATATAGAGAGATTTTTTTTCTGGTTTATATATTTTATATCCCTTTCTATCCTTTAAATAACAGTTTTTAAAATTAAAATAATTATCTTTTTAATTTAATCATTTTTTTTAAATTTAATTTTTTACTTGACTGTTTTTTCGTTAAATATAATCACTATTCTAAACTAAAATAAATATCTATTATAAAATAAATTATTTACAAAATAAAAAAATATTTACGATAAAATTATAAAATATGTTGTAATTGTTTTATAGTTATTATGATATTTATAATATTGATTTTTTCTCATATTCTCTAAGTGAATGTGTTTTCACTAATTCTTAAATAAAGGAAGTCCGTTGTGTTTAAAAACGAAAATGTTAAATTTGAAAATCACTGTTTTTCAACTACTAAAAGCTTATCCAATGGTAATTGTAATCTTCTTTAAGTAGACTAAAGGCTTTCGATCTTTGGCATTTATTTAAAAACTTTTGTTTTGCTGTTTTATCTCTGTTTACCAAAAGAGATAANTTAAGGGCAAAATAGTAAAGGAGAGATGGAGGAAGAAAGGTGTGGTGGTGGAGGGAGCAACACCCTCAGCACTTAACTTGACCGCACTGTCGGAGTCCGAACACAATTTCTTATATAAGAAATAGCATTGATATAGACTTTTTTTTATCAGTTTATAATCCATTGATTCTCAACCACTATAACAATTTTTCAAGCACTATATAAGTTCTGTCAATATAAAAGTTATCTTCGAAATTAGAAAAACCTCTAATGTAAAATTTATATTTCACATTCCAAAATAATAAATTTACTTTTAGTACTTTCTTATAATTTGTATAATCCAAAATGCATAATTTAACTTCGAAATTATATAATTTAAAAGTACACCACATTTAGATTTCTGAATTCAATTTTTTTTAAGAATCACACAACTAAATAATAATCCAAAAACCTCGCTGCCATTCGAAAACGGTGAAAAAGAAATTTTTACTTACTATATGAGCTATATATATTATATATGACTCACAACTAGCAAAATAAATATTTGAAAAAAATTAAAAATGTAAAAGAAAATTATGGGGTGCAGAAAGTAAATGGCTTGCAAAACCGGCTTTCTGGTCCACATCCACATTGTTACTTTTGATTAATTTATATCCCTCCAGCATTAAAAAAAAATAAAAAGCGAATTCTTATTAATATTTTTCCCACTTTCTTGGCTTTCTCTCTGGTGTCGGGTGGAAGGGAAAATCAAGATGCTGAGACTGGGCGCAAAGAGGGTTTTAGGAACGACGTCGTTGGGCGCTAGGGTTTCGGCGCGGTTATACCACGAGCGGGTTGTGGATCATTATGACAATCCCCGGAATGTTGGATCTTTCGACAAGAGCGACCCGAGCGTTGGGACGGGTTTGGTCGGGGCACCGGCTTGCGGTGATGTCATGAAGCTCCAGATTAAGGTCGACGACAAAACCGGAAAAATCGTCGATGCTCGATTCAAGACTTTTGGGTGTGGCTCTGCCATTGCTTCTTCCTCCGTCGGTAATCACGAACACAAACATTGCTCTCGGTTTTCTGATTCAATTCATTCTATTCTGTCCTATCCTCATTTACCACTTTTCTGATGTATCTATCTTATTTTCAGCTACTGAGTGGGTGAAGGGAAAGCAAATGGAGGAAGTTCTGTCCATAAAAAATACGTAAGTGTAAATACTATATCTGCAGTTTTGCGTAATATATCAGCCCTATCTTATATATGCATTGGAAAACACTGGATGGGGTAGAAATATATATATATATATGTATATATATACACATATATATATATATGTATATATATACACATATATATACACATATATATATATATATATATATGTATATATATACACATATATATATATGTGTATATATACACATATATATATAT